TAAGTCTTCAATTAGCCTTAAAATAAGAAAATATATTCAATACATCCCTTCCTCAATTCATATGTACTTTTTCGCTTTCAGTATTAAAAGGGGTGGGGGTGGGGGGTCTCCAGCAATTTAAAATGAAATCCAGTTAAAAAAAAAACATAAGAATGAGATTCCGGGCTGGCTAAACCACAAAAATCATTTCATTTCTCTGATAAGATTGTGAAGAATTATGAACAAATCAAAGCCAAAAGTTTCAAAGAAAGTATAAAGAAGCACACATTCAAAGTAGAACAGACTAACTAAAAATGAGTTAGCAGGTGAGAGCAAACAAAAAAAGTTACCACAAATTTTTTTGCATAGTTACTTTTCAACAGAATTTAAAAAATAAAAAGACACAAAAAATATCACTTGTCACAGTTACTTTTCAACAAATTAAAAAAAAGACACACACAAAAAGAAGACACATACATACAAGACAAAAAAGGACACACACACAAAAAAGGACACACACACACACACAAAAAAGGACACACACACACACACAAAAAAGGACACACACACAAAAAAATTTTTAAAAATCCCTTTACATAGTCGCTTTTTCAACATAATTAAAAATGGCACACAAACACACATACAAAAATTCACCCAAGGTATTCTGAAGTTTAGAAAATGTAAACGAGCGATTAACACACCTAATCAACGAGGGTTTGTGTGTGTGCAAGAGAGAGAGAGAGAGTGTATGAGGGAGGGGAGAGAGAAAATTTGTCTAATATGAAATCACACACAGTTTCCTGTAGGGGGCAAGTAAAATAGAAAAGATGGAAAATAAATAAATAAAAATAGAAGAAATTGCTGTTGTTTGCCATGACCCAATTAGCTATGATGACCCAATTTCAGCATGCCACTTTGTTGGTAATCAGCCAGCCAGCTAGCTTTGGTAAAAAAAGACCCGCACAGAAAGGGGAACCCCCATTGTCTTCACATACATCCTAATGCTGATGCAGTTGGAAAGCAAGTGCAAAAAGGTAAACAAATTAAAGAGAGAGAGAGAGAGAGAAAAAAAAAAGTAAAAATTTAGAAAGAGAAAAGAAATAAAGAAACTAGGCAATGTTCGAACTTGCCAGAGACAATTGCATTCAGACTTGTTGGCTGATGGGATTTATTTTCATTAAGAGTTTTTATTATACTGTGCCCAGGACATTCCAAAATTACAAGCAACCATCTTCTCACTTTCTTTACAATACCACCTCCCAATTTCATCTTTGCAGCCTAAGAGAATTTATCAGCTTTCAAATGTCTAAATAATCTAAGAATGCAACTTAAAATGAAGGATATAAACGAAAGCCAAAAAGAAAGCAAGATGAAATAAAGCACAATCCAATCAGGACGCAAAAGGAAAAAAAAATAATGGTATTTTTTCACTGTTAATTTTAATCAACAAATTCAGCTACTAAAGATAAATATGAAGCAATATTTTGATTGTAAAAGATTTTATAATATTCAATAGACTAAATTACTTCAAGACTTTATGTATTGTGCGCAATAGCAGTGAAATATAAGCAACTAATCTAGGACAAGCTCAAGGTACATGTGCAATCATCTTTTCTAATTACATGTAAAGATATTTTTAAAAAATGCTTACCATGAGTTTTACCTAAAACAAATGGTTGGTTGAATTTAAGTAGCAAGTGACTTTTACATTTATCTGAACTTCCAGAAATATGCAGCTTCCAAATAAAATTTCATCAGAAACCAAATTCATGGTGAAAATTTTTTAGATACTATGAAGGTGGGGGAGCTTTACTTCTATAAGTAAGAAGTAGATATAGTTAGTTTTATTTACAAGGATTGGCTGGAAAATTAATAGGTTCACTATTAGTCTACCAACTGGTAGAGTCTACTTATATTTATAACTTGGTTAGCCTATGAACTTTCCAGCTGACCTTCGTGTGTGTGTGACTTGTTAAATCTTCATCAGAGAATTAGATATGGAGAAAAAAGAAGAAAAGAATTTTTGGTATGTTTGTGTTTGATTTTCATTGGTTAATCAGGCATCACATGCAATGAAAATCAAACAACACAAAAATAAAAATATTAGAATTTCTTTTTTTTTCTGTATTCCATTCTCTGATGAAGCTTGATAAAAGTGAAACATGTTAAATTGATAAAGATTTTCTATTTTTTATTTATTCTATCATTCTGTAATTCATATTTAATCTGTATTTGATTCATATATATATATATATATATATATATATATATATATAATAAAAATGTGTTTTGGAAAAATAAAATTTAATGTAAACTTTTAAACTAAAATATACTTTATTATTTTAGTTATAATAGATTGATTAATTACTTGTGACTACTTGTGTGAAGCCATATTGGCAAACCAGGACAATGATTATTTTCCTTGACTTAACCCCCCAACTATGCATTTTATTAAGCCACTAAACAGTTGACTGATAATAAAGGAACTAGGACATTTTCCAAGAGATATTGCATCAGTTTATCAAGGACAGTTCTTACTTTCCCTTCCTTCATTGCCATTTTCAAATTGTCTTGAATCGCTATACAATTCACTGCTAGAGTAAGAAGACAAAGGACAAAAAAAAAAATTTCTTTTGAAAAACTCACCAATTGCTCCTAAGTTTTTAAAGGAAAGGCATAAAGAAAAAGTGTGCCATTTTTTTTTAATAAGCTTTCTTTCATAATGCATAATTTAATCCTGATTTTTACATCGAGAAAGTTTATAAAATCATTTATTAGGCATCACTTAAATTCTGATAAAAAGTTTAAAAAAAAAATCAGAATTAAATTATTAATCCTCAGGTAAAATGGGTTAATACTTTAGCTTTTAATTAAAGAAAAAATAGATAAAAATTAATCTATAAAATTTATACTTTCTTTCATTTATATTTAAATGCTACAAATATCAAGGGATTTTTACATTTCAACAGCCTAATTTTTTATGATCATTATACAAAAATACATCAGGTCTATCAATAATGCAAAAAAGAAAAAAGAAAAATTGAACCCAGAATATTTAAGCTTTTGGGTAAACGTTTTTTTTAAAAACTAAGTTTATAAAGCACAGAGATTACAGTTTCAAATCTAATTATGAATAAGTCACATATACACAAAACAAGTTTTAAAAACAATTTTTTGGAAACTATCAAAATTTAACTTAAACATGCACTTTAATCTAAAAAAAAAAAAAAAAAAAAAAAAAAAATGGTAAATACTGCAACAATTATTATTTTTTCAATGATTTTATGTCTAAAATCTTTTTCATGTAGTCAATATTTTTTCATGATAAATCAATTAATTTTCTACAGCTTATCAATCCTTATTTAAAGCCAGAAAATATTTTTAGATTAGAAGAATTTTCTTTTTTTGAGATAACAATGGTTTAGTGATATGTCTTACTAATTAACTAGGAGAGAAGAGGTGGATTCATACCTTTCCCAAGGATATTTGCATGTAAGTAAATATAATGAACCCAACAAGAATTAGAACTCAGCTCTCTAATGGCACTGATCAGGCTCGAAGTTGTTCAATTTCAGTGATCATGCAAGAACCAGTGTTTCAACATAATATGGCCATAAGCCAATATTTTTTCATAAAGCCTTCAAATATCTTATAAAAGTATATACTCTCAAAAACGTGGAAGTGATAAAGAATAATTATCACAGATATTCAGGACAGCAATAAAAAATGACAACAGAGTCTAAATATAAAAAAAATCAAAAAAAATCTTTAAAATGCATGCTAATGAAATATTTTCAGGATAATGTCACTTGAAATGTTTGAAATTAAACTTATCACCACCTTCTACACCAAGAGATCAAACAAAATTATTTTCTTCCAATCAAAAGTATTTCAACCAAGATTAATTCCCCACCCAGGCAAAAAAGGAAATCCAACCCCCACTACTACCAACCAATTAAGATTCAGTCTTTTAAAGCAAAAAAAGAAAAAAAAAAAATGAGAAAAATAGAGATGACATACTGTTTGTCATGTAGATAGATAGCACAATGGTTGTTGAAATTGGACTTTTTTGTTTTTTAAATTGCATGCCATATTCTTAACAATACCAAAATAAAATCATTATTAAATTTTCCTGCATGTAACATTCTGCTGAGTGAGTCAAATTTAGTAATAAAACAATAAATGTTTTTGTACAGCATAAAAGTAATGTGACATTAACTTTTTCAAAGAAAACTCAAAATTTCATTCAAAACAAACTTATTCAAATTATTTCTTTAAAAAAATTTAAAAAAAAAACACATAAAAATAAAATAAAAAAACTCTGAAAGTATTTCAATGACAAAATTCACAAAAAAAAATAAATAAATAAATAAGCCTTTCAAATACTGTGTTATTAATATTTAAAGACCTGCTTGCAACACAAAATTAGAAGTGTTCAAACATTAAAAGAAAGTCCCATTATATATGCATCATGTCGATTCATAAAAATTGACACTTTATATATGAACATTTAATGGACTCTTTGACATGGTGTAATGGTTAGAAAACTTGTCTCACTAGATCAATTACAAATGAGTAGGGAGTTCAATACTCATTGGGTGCTCCATACTTTTGGCCTTGTGCCATATGTAAGCTACACGTACTAAATCACTATATAAACATTTAATGCAATAATTTGGTGTTTTTTGCAAAAAAAGAGGGGGTTCTCTTCTTGAGTGAGTGGGTGGCACTTTCTATTCAACTGTCAAAGTTACAGCTGATAATTCAATTTAAAAATTTCATAAAACTTTTTTAAATAAAAAAAAAAAAAAAAAAAAAAAAAAAAAAAAAAAAAAAAAAGAAAAAAAAGAAATTAAACTGACAAAACTGGAATTTAAATTTTGACAATCAAAGGATTATTTAAAATTAATAATCCTAATAATTCTAAAATACCTCTCCAAAGCAGTAAAATTGGTATATTCTGAAATTTCTCTTAGCAATTATTCAAGCAAAGCAATTATCAATTTCAAAAATTGTCTAACCTGTGACTGACGTGTCTGGGAACATTGGAGCAAAGACATTGGCTGCAAAGTCTTCAAACATGGTGGGTTCTATGTGTTTCTGAATGATATTGGCCAGGCAATTGGCACGTTCCTCATAGCTGAAAATTATTGGTTAAAGGAATAATTTACAGAAAAGAAAAAAAAACTGACACAAAGACAAAATAATAATAATAGCAGAGTTTAATTAAACTTTAAAAGACTAACCTAAAACAGAGAGAGAAAGAAAGAGAGAAAAGCCGAGAGAAAGAAAGAGAGAAAAGCCGAGAGAAAGAAAGAGAGAAAAGCCAAGAGAGAGAAAAGCCGAGAGAGAGAAAAGCCGAAAGAGAGAAAAGCCGAAAGAGAGAAAAGCCGAAAGAGAGAAAAGCCGAAAGCGAGAAAGAAAGAGAGAAAAGCCGAGAGAGAGAAAGAGAGAAAGAAAGAAAAGCCGAAAGAGAGAGAGAGAGAAAGAGAGAGAGAGAGAGAGAGAGAAAGAAAGAAAGAAAGAAAGAAAGAAAGAAAGAAAGAAAGAAAGAAAGAAAGAAAGAAAGAAAAAGCGAAAGAGAGAGAGAGAGAGAGAGAAAAAAGAGAGAGAGAGAGAAAAGCGAGAGAGAGAGAAAGAAGAGAGAGAGAGAGAGGAGAAAAAGCGAGAGAGAGAGAGAAAAAAGAGAGAGAGAGAGAGAAAGAAGAGAGAGAGAGAGAGAGAGAGAGAGAGAGAGAGAGAGAGAGAGAGAAAAGCGAGAGAGAGAGAGAGAAAAGCGAGAGAGAGAGAGAGAAAAGGAGAGAGAGAGAGAGAAAGAAAGAGAGAGAGAGAGAGAGAGAGAAAGAGAGAGAGAGAGAAAAGCGAGAGAGAGAGAGAGGAGAAAAGTAGAGAGAGAGAGAGGAAAGCGAGAGAGAGAGAGAAGAAAAGCGTGGAGAGAGAGAGAAAGAAAAAGGAGAGAGAGAGAGAAAGAAAAAGCGAGAGAGAGAGAGAGAGAGAAAAAAAGAGAGAGAGAGAGAAAGAAAGAGAGAGAGCGAGAGAGAAAGAAAAAAGACAGAGCGAGAGAGAAAGAAAAGGGAGATCGAGAGAGAGAAAGAAAGAGAGAGTAAGAGAGAGAGAAAGAAAAAGCGAGAGAGAGAGAGAAACGAAAAGTTTTAGAGAGAGAGAGAGAAAAGCGAGAGAGAGAGAGAAAGGAAAAGCGAGAGAGAGAGAAAGGAAAAGCGAGAGAGAGAGAAAGGAAAAGCGAGAGAGAGAGAAAGGAAAAAGAGAGAGAGAGAAAGGAAAAAGAGAGAGAGAGAAAGAAAAGAGAGAGAGAAAGAAAAGCGAGAGAGAGAGAAAGAAAAAGCGAGAGAGAGACAGAAAAAGCGAGAGAGAGACAGAAAAAGCGAGAGAGAGACAGAAAAAGCGAGAGAGAGACAGAAAAAGCGAGAGAGAGACAGAAAAAGAGAGAGAGACAGAAAAAGAGAGAGAAAACAGAAAAGAGAGAGAGACAGAAAGGAGAGAGAGAGAAAAAGAGAGAGAGAAAGAAAGAGAAAAGCGAGAGAGAGAAAGACAAAAAAAGAGAGAGAGAGAAAAAGACAGAAAAGTAGAGAGAGAGAGAGAGACAGAAAAAGCGAGAGAGAGAGAAAGACAGAAAAAGCGAGAGAGAGAGAAAGACAGAAAAAGCGAGAGAGAGAGAAAGACAGAAAAAGCGAGAGAGAGAGAAAGAAAGAAAAAGCGAGAGAGAGAGAAAGAAAGAAAAAGCGAGAGAGAGAGAAAGAAAGAAAAAGCGAGAGAGAGAGAAAGAAAGAAAAAGCGAGAGAGAGAGAAAGAAAGAAAAAGTGAGAGAGAGAGAAAGAGAGATAGAAAAAAAAAAGCGACTGAGAGAAAAAGCGAGAGAGAGACAAACCCGAGTGAGAAAGTGAGAGTGAGACAAAACAGAGTGAGAAATAAGAGAAAACTGAAAGAGCAAATGAGAGAGAAAGCCAAAAACACTGGCAGAGACAAATACATTAAGAACGAGAGACACACACAAATGTGATACTTACAATAAAAGTTCTTTCAGTGTGAGAATTCATGCAGAGTAAACATAACATCATCTATCACCCATAATAAAAAGTAACACTTACAGGAGAGTGATTTGCCCAGATATTCATTCACCTACTCTATTCTGTGTCAACCATCATTACATGCAAGTGATAGCAGAAATCTAGACAAGATGTACTATCAAGACAAAAGAAAAAAAAAGCACATTCACACAAAATGAAGTGAACAAGGAAAATCAGCTGGCCAATACCATTTTTTTTCCAGTAACCATTATGGCCACCTGCCTGCTGATTATTAATTATATATGTCATGTAAGGATACTGTGAATGGTAGAGAGGCATTTGGGCCCGCTTGGTTCTGCTGGCATTTATAGCTGTGGCTCGGACTAGACAAGGAAGGATCTTGGCATCAACAATTGCTCCATCAAATAATGGTCCAAAATGAATCTGAAAAAAGAAAAAGTTGTATAAATTAGATTAAAGTATTAAATAACACAGACACTTTATATAAAAAAAAAAAAAAAAAAAAAGGAGAGAGAGAGCAAAGAAAAAAACTAAAAAAAAAAAAAGTGGATTTATTTATGAACACCAAAATTTGTTTGGCTTCTTGTGTGCTTCTACATGTGCTTCCAAAAAAAATTAAAAAATAAATATCACAGGCCCACCAATTCTTGACCCCCAAAACATCATACAACCTCTTTGCTGACATATCAACTTGTGATAATTGTTTCCATTACAAACCACTCAGCCTCTGTTCTATCCAGTTGGTGCTTCGAGAGTAGCACAGAGCATTTGTCAGTGAAAAGAATGCATGCCCCAACGCAATTTGATTTTCCTCATGGGACTGGGGCCAAGAAAACATTGAAATTTTAAATTAGTCCAAGTGATGTAATGGAATAACCTATCACCCTCATAAATGACTACACTATAGGTAGTAACTACCTATATGTATGTGTAAGTCAACAGACTAGAGTTTAGCTGGAATCTGTTGAGTATGACTCAGACTTATGTGGGAACTACCGACCTTCCAAAAGTAGCACTCACTACTGGATTGACTTGCGACGACCTTGTGCATACTGTTACCTTTATTCTTATTGTATTGGTTTTTACAATAAACCTTTACTTATTTTATCCACCATATTTGTCAAGTATATATTCCTATTAGCACGGAATATAACACCAAGTAAGTCCTAAAGGACATAATGAGTCACACAAAAGTTTTTCCTCCCCTTTGTTATACAGCTTTCTTGATACATGAAAAAATGTATATATCATTACCCCATATATATCTATATAATAAATGCAAATGTCAGTGTTTGAATCTCTCATAATTTTTCAATTAAAGGGACACAACTCTAACTTTCAATAGCTCATGTTACAGAAATTTTGGATTCCCAAGTTTACTGCGATTGTTTTCGGTGATTTTTTTACAACAAATTTTTCTGTACCCTAACAGTTCTTATCAGTTGAAAATAAATTTGGGAATAATCAAAATGAATAATGAAATCCAGCAAAAGTCACCCATGAAATAAAAAATAATTGTTTGTACAGAAAGTAAGGACCTACACACATCAAATTGTCTTTAACTTTTACTGCACTGGAAGCAAAAAGTAGAATACTATACATTTGATGCTCAAGGCACATTATATTGCTATAAATAAACACTTGCCAACTGTTATTTCTGGTATTTTAAACTAGAAATCGCCTACAACTGTTTAAAACAGGGCTAAACTTCTTTTTTCCAATGCCATTTTTAATTCATCTACACTCGACATGAGGTGTAACATCAATTAACCCCACATTAATTTTTTTTGTAAACAAAAATGGCAGCATCAATATCTAACGAAGCCTTTACTCAAGAGTTTTTCTTTGATTCAAACTCCAATGATGATTTGGAGGCTTTACTCAAGTGGCTATTGACGGTGAAGTGGTTGAAGATGATAACCATGCGTCACTACGTGGAGGAAAATGTTGATGACCACTAGCGGCTACTATTATACATGGTTGACTAATTTTATGAAACCTACAGGTGACTATCAATATACCTGATGGTCTTTCTGAAGGTGAATTATTTTGTCTATTTATAAACAACAAAATAATAATTTTATTTGTCAACGAAACAAATAAATATACTAGTCAGGTGAAAGAAAGACTAAACAAATGCTGGTGTCTTCTCATATGTAAACATGAGGAAGCATATCACTTTTTGATAACATGAAAGCCTTCTTAGCCATTATGCTTCTTATTGCACCCCAGAACTCCACAAGGAGTAATAAAAGTTAAAAGTATATTAAATTGCTAATGTATTTCTGTTTCAATTTTGTTTTCCATGTCAAAACATGCACGCAAAATGTAATGCATTACTGTTGTAGTAAAGAAAAGACTGTCAACAGATAGTAACAACTGCAATAGATCTCTTCTATTTCTCAACCACAACACTTGTAGCCTAATCGCAGTTCAAACGACAGCCCATCGTAAAAGTCCAACAAAGTAGAAAAAAAGTCCCCAGAAAAAAAAATGCGCTTGCTTTATATATTTGAGGACTGACCATAATTTGCATGCGAATGAAGAGACAACGAGATTTTGCGTTAACTGTCTGAAACCGCCTGGCATAAAACATGGGCACCGCCATTTTGGTTCTTTTTACAGTTGAGCAGCCAGAGTTTGCACGATGCACAGATTCGTGGGCGTTTCCGAGGTAAACCATTTTCACAATTTTCCCCACAATGACGTAATACATTATATCAAAATATTACTCAACTATTCTTTTATCAGTATACAAAAAAATAAAATCTATAAACACAATACAAAGAAAGTTATAACAATTTTAAAACAGTAGGTGTTTGTATTTGCACCTTCAAAAAAGAAAAAAATGCAGTGGCAAGGGGAACAATTCTAAAAAGAAATTAGCGTGGTAAAGGTTAAACTAAGTGGTGGCAGAAGAATTATCATTGAACTTTTAAAGGATAAGCTTAAATATTAATGCAATACTGAAATGCAGTGATCAATTTTGAATTCTTTAATAGTTCATTGTTGCCTATTGCATACAGCAGCAGTATGCATTGCAAAAATCTCCACCAACAGAGGACCTGATTACAATCAAAGGAGCCAAGGCTGCAGGGAGGAAAAGAAAGTCCTGTGCAAATGAAAACCCAGATCAAACAGCAGCCAGGAGAGCTTTCTATGCTGAGAATATGCAAAGACTTAGAGACTCCTAAACAAACCAAAGACCCAATCAAGAGCCCTCCAGAGGAGCTACCTTAAATGCCATCTGATAGGGCGGCTTTTAAACTAGTGTGTGTGTGTGTGTATATATATATATATATATATATATATATATATATATATTTGGTTGGATAGATGTGAGTTTGTGACCCTGGGTTTCACGCTTTAGCGATCGTCAGACAAATTGATTACTGTTTTAAAAAATTTGGGTTTATGTAGATTGCGTGTATTGGTGTTATTGTGGAAGTGGTGGGGGAAATTTCGTCGTTTCTAATAAGTACCGCGCATATAATATATAAATAATTATACATATATATATATTTATTTATATTCACTTTTCACATATATATATATATATATATATATATATATATATATTATATAGACAGAGAGAGAGTTGTGGACAATTATTCATCTCCCACATTTCTATAATTACAAATAAAGCTGTAATACGTCAAATTTTCATGGAAATTTCACATACATTTTTTTCCCAAATGATGAAATAATGAATTTGAAAGAATGTGAAGTGATTCCCATAATAAAAATTTTTATTTTAATGTCAGTCATACAAAAACAATGCCAAAAAAAAAAAACATTTAACATAAAACAAAATTATTGCTTCATTAATTAATTGTGTCACCTTTATTCTTGATTATTGCCTTTAATCATTTTTGATAGTTCCTTACAAGATCATTATAGCTATTTTGCTACATTCTTCCTTTACAATAACTTCTAGTTCCTGCAAATTCAAAGGACTTCTTTCTCTTACTTTTTTCTTCAAATATGCCCATAAATTTTCAATGGGGTTTAGGGAAGGAATTTGTGTGGAGTATGCCAATACCTTAATTTTGCTGTCATCTAAGTATTTTATAACAATTTGTGACATGTGTTTCAGGTCATTATCATGTTGGAACATCCAGTGACAACCCAAAGTCAGCTTTCGTGCACTTTGTTTTATATTATTTTTAAGAATAGCCAAATACTACTCTTTATTCATGATACCCTGCACTTTTACTAGTTCTCCTGGTCCAGAAGCAGCAAAACATCCCCCAGAGCAGAATGTGCCCAACACCGTGCTTAATTGTAGGGAGGACATTATTTTGGTTTGTAAGTTTCATTCACTTTCCTTCAGGCATAATGGGAGTTCATGTGACTAAATAATTCTAGTTTGGTTTCATCTGATCATAAAACAAAGTTCCAATATTTACGCCCATGTTCTAAATGGCTTCTAGCATAAGCTAATCTGCATTTAAAGTGTTTCGCCTTAAGCAAGTGAGTTTTACTTGGGCTACAAGCTTGAAGTCCTGCTCGATGAAAGCATCTAGTGATTGTCTTCATCAATACATTCAAACCTGATGTCTTTACATCATTGGCAATGTCCTTTGTTGTTAAGTGAGGATTCTTTGAGACATCTCTAACAATTTTCTTTTCCATTTTCTCAGAAATTAACCATGTTCTGTTAGTCTTTAATTTATTCAAAACACAACGAGTCTCACTGTACTTCTTGATAATGCTTCAAATTGTCAATCTAGGAACATTTAAATGCTTAAATTGTGTTGTATGTCCATCATTTTGTTTCTATGCATCAACTATCATCATTTAAAACTTCTTAAATTCAAATGTCTTCACCATGCTTGCAGAAGAACAAATTAGTTATCGCGGTACGTGACACACATATTGTCTTCTTCATTATCATTTAGAATGTTATAGAATCATATCAGATATATATATATATATATATATATATATATACATACATACATACACACACACACACAGAGAAAATGAAATCAGTAAGCTGATTTCAAATTTGGGGCTAGTCTGTTGAATTAATTTCCACACTAATGCCTTTAGAAAAGACATGAATCTGTCATCTTCCCCCATCAGTTATAAGTTAAATAAAAAGATTGGTCTCACTAGCCTTGGATAGTAAACAAGGCTAGTGAGACCAGTCTTTTCCAAATTTGAAATCAGCTTACCGATTTCATTTCCTATATATATATATATATATATATATATATATATATATATATATATATATATAGTTATTATAATAAGTTATTATAAATCAAACCATATAATAATTATCAATGTGTATTTATATATTTTCTGTCCTATCTGTTGTGGGAAGGGAGGTAAATCAACTCAAGTTTGTAAATTTATGAGTAATTACTGTCTTTAGTCATTTTAATAATCTATACAAATAAAATATTTATCTGTATTTAGACAAAGTTACTTCCCAAGCAAAAGGAACCATTTAATGAACCAGTTCCCTTACACCTACATTTCTTAGATTGCAGTCTTATTTGTTCAAGCCTTTCATGTGAAGCACTCAGATACCTATTAAGTGATCATCTTGCTTCAACTTGGTCTTGAAATAGGCTTCATCATTGCCATCTTTTTCTTTCAAGAGATATTTTTATTTCACTATTATACTACACATAAAATTTTTATCATGAAGACATTAAGTAAAAAGTAATTTTTATAATACCAAGTGTAATCAATGAATCATAGATATCACTGGATGTTTAAATATATGAAAGAAACAGATTAATTAAATGGTTCATTGGCCTCCATCTCCATACATTGTTTCAAGAATTTGTTTGATTGCATCACACTGTTAAAAATTTCTAACAGTTGCCTAATATATTAATATAAAAGTTGGATCAATAATTCCAGAGGCTAACAATTATTAATAGAATTATGTGAATTTTTTACTGGCTCATGCTTAACCAACTTAATAAAAGAAATATATATATATATATATATATATATATATATATATATATATACACACACACACACACACAAGCCTGGTTCACTATCAAAACTCACCAGCATGGTTAGACATCTGATTGCTTCAAGTCTGGATCAAAACTCGACTGATTTAGCATCAAAGACTCTACCCCTAAGCTCACAGCAGAGAGAGGAAATCTTTTAATGTATTATATACATGATGCATATAAACGCCAAATCAGCAGCCAGAGCAGTCAATTCATAGCTATATATTTTCATGGTACTTAGTGGAAAGTGCTCAATATATGTGAGAGCTAACATATTCAGTTGTTTATATATATATAATCACACACACTAGCAAGTAGAAAAAAATTTTTTTTCTGATGATGATGGCCATGTTGGCCGAAACTAGTCGAGGAATCTAACTGAAATAATAAAAACGAAATAATATTAATATACAACCCAGTGTGTCTGAAGATTTTAATTTAACATTTTTATTGTTCAAGACTATATATATATATATATATATATATATATATATATATATATATATATATATATATATCAGAGACTCCCCTTTATTTTCTTTTTTTTTTTTTACAAAATATTTAAACAAAATGTATTTGCGACATTTTAAAAAAACGCTGATGTTTTTTCTTTTTGAAGAATTTTCGGCACAAGAATTTAAAAAAGGGAGACAACTCTTCCTTCCGTAGTAACGATAGATTTATGTCCCTTAGAGTATTGTATGGAATTGAAGTCATTAAAAATTAGGCATAAAGCATTGGTATTTGTTTAATCGACTAATTTACTTTCTGCATCTTTTGACTGATAACAAATTGCTGGATAATACAACGAAACAAATCAAAATACCCTTCTGGAAAAAGAAAAAAATTTTTTTTTTTTTTTAGGTAACTCCACGAAATCGCTAAAAAAAGAGCATAGTCTGATGAAAAAGACGCCAAACTTTATGAAAACAAAATTTTATCGTCTAAATGCTTATGTTTTATTATGAAGAGGAAAGACCAAAGATTTTATTAATTATTTTTTTTAAATTTTTCCTTCTTTTTAGAACATTCTAAATTTTGATTAAAAAAACTTTGTTTCTTTTTGTACCAACCGGAATTAGTAAAATAACAGACAATTTTTAGCACGTTTTTTTTTTTTGTATTACGCACATTAATTTGTAAAATCTTGCAATAATAATAAAATAATTGTCGGATGTTAATGAAACTTTCAGAAACTATTCACAGATGATCGAAATTATTATAAATATGTTGTTTTTTTTTTTTTATTAAAGTCATGGCAGAAATATTTTTTTTATATTTATTAACACCCCCATAACTAATTTTATAAAAACGCTAGAAATTCGATCACATCGGGTTTAGTGATTACAATTTAAAAGCACAAGGCTTTGACGAATGCAAATTATGTTTTTGTTTTTTTAATTGGATCCGCAGTACCTGAAAATCAGCTCTGAATTGTAACATACAAAACTCAATAAAACAAAGATATTTAATTTCAAATGCTTTTATTTGTTTTTATGAATATGGACAATATTTTCAGAAAGCAAAAAAAATTTTCAATGAAAATTGAATTTTTAATACAATTATTTGTTATTTCTTTAATTATAATAGATTTTTACATTAAGTTGTTAAAAAAATATTATAAAATTAGTTAAAAGCTACATTGGGTTTTCTAAGTGTCCTTATGAGATAGATCATTTTTTAGCACTTTGTAAATTGTATCATTTTTTGACTAATCAGAAGATCCACAGTAATTAAGAAATGTAATTTTGTGTTTATAATCAGGCGGTAATTATAAAGAACGGATTGATTGAAAATAATGGATTATCTGTCCTTTTTGTTTTGACAAAAAAAAAAAAAAAAAAAAAAAGATTTTTAACGAAAATTTCGGACGTGCTACGAACGACTAAAAAATGTAAAAAAAATACCCCCAAAATACTTTGATCTTTCGTCTTTAATAATAATATGAACATTAGACGATAACATTTTGTTTTTGTCAAGTTTGGCGTCTTTTTCATCATGTTATAGTTATACTCTTTTTGTTTACATTTCGTAGAGGTACCTCAATCAAATCTACTTACGTCAGGTTTTTTGTTGATCTGGATTCTGAAGAGACCATTTGGAAGAGGGTAGATAATTATTAAGACATCACCAAATTCAGTAGGGATAATATTCCGTCGATAGTCACGACTATGCTCTGACCATACTATATGGACTTCATCATTGCCTAAATGCCTCATCTGAAAAATAAAGTCAAATAGAAGAGACGTTTTTTTTTAAATTAATAATTTAATCATTTCTATAGTTCTTACTTGAACTTTTTCTTCATTAAGAATATACGTAAATAAACATTATAAAAAGAAATGAAAATTGCATTATCTCGTTTGATGTAGACATTACTAACTAAATAAGGTTGAGAATTTATAGTTTAAAGCAGTATGGGTTGTTTAATTCAGTATAACCTATATTGATTTATTTTGAATATAAAGCAGTTTTAGTTATAAATTCTCAGCCTTATTTAGTTATTTACTTCAGTATAGTGGATGCACAGTGTAGTGCAGTGAATAACGGCTTGGAATGAGAAATCGGGGAGCCGAGTTCGAATTCCAGTTTGATTATTAATTACATTCACTTACACGCAAATAAATTTCTTCTCCTCTCAGGGGAATAACAATACAGGCTGGGTCCTTTAGCCTTGGGTGGCAACCAGTCTACCACAGAGAAAATTTTCAGTCATGAATCGAAAGAGACATGATCGCCCAAGCGTGTATCACGTATGGCACGAAACTGACTTCGGTAAAAAGGAAATTTTTAAAATTCTTTCGACATAAAAATTAAACAAGGGAAATAACTCCTACCGTAATAAATAAAAATGACTCCTGTCTGCCAAAAGTATGAAGTCAATTATATTATGTAACAAAGTTTTGACCTTTTTTTTGTCTCTGGTCAGTATTATTTTATTGTTATTTTGTGTCTAGAAAGCAAAGGAAATGACTATTATCCCCTTCAAACTTTGCTTTTGTGACCTAGACATCAAGGTTTTCAAATTGAAACTAACCTATTTTCCAATACATTTCAGACAGATTTGCTGAAGGAGAATTTTCTAGAGAAATTTTTAAGTTTCAAAAATTTCTAGAAAGTTCTGGTAACATAGATGGCAGTATAAATACAGTGAACCTAAGCTCAACAGTTCAGCTTACTTCTAGCTGTCCAAATGCAGACAGACATTGTTAATAGACGAATTCGTCACAGATGGCATTAAGAGGTCGTAAATATCAAAGCAGATACATTTTGCTATATCTGTGGTGAATTCATCAAGATCAAAAAAAGTATACTCTGTGACAACATCTGCTAAAATATGTGAGGCCTACAAGGCATATTTTGGCATGCCTGTCTGGCATCAAAACAAACTTTGGACACCTCATTTCATCTGCAACCTTCGCAAAAAAAACTCTAGAAAATAAGATGGAAAGGTTTGCTTATTTGGATAGTGGAATTTTTAAGTGAAAAAATTTTGGAATTTTATTTTTTTTTTAATTTAAATATATTTTATTTTTTTAAACCACTCTTATTGAAAAATATGTATTAAATATGTTTCAACAATTGCGCATTAGTGTCCACAGTATCAGGGATGTTTTCTGTACTGCATCACTAGCAACAGCCATAAAAATACGGAATATAGGTATGTTCGGTATTCAAGATTATATATTTTTGTGGCATTTGCTACATTATTTGGGGTCCAAAGTCAGAATTTTACATATCCAGTGCATGATTTTTAAAAATTTCAAAAATCAAAAATGTAATTTTAAAGAATGTTTCAATAACCCTGGGTGAAATATATTTGTATTTTTATACTCGTATTTTTATTTTGCTCTTTTACAGGATAGTATAGAGGTGAAAATAGAGCCATGAAATTCATAATCCCATAAATTTGAAGGGAACCGACTGACCACTCAAGCTTCTTCTGCATGGTAGACCCTTCCAAATGTCGAGGTAGCAAAAATGTGCCTGCTATCATATATACACACCTTCTGTTATCTATTGCCCCAGTGCCACTTTGTCCAGAGTTCTCTATACCCACTTATCCAGAGAGAGAGAAAGAGAGCAGCAGTCTTCAGAAGAAAAGAGCAATTCAAAAGAGGATGAAGTCATTGAACCAGATTACAAAGGTGAAGCTGAGGGGAGAAATCCATACTACCCTAACCAAAAAGACCTCAACATCTTGGTCAAGCTTCTAATATCAAGACTCAAGCAATAGAATTTGTTAGATGAAAGTGTGCAAATCACAAGTCAGAGAAAGCGTCACCAGTATTTTTCAAGCTTTTCTACCCATCAAGATGAGCTTTGCTTATGCCACAATGTAACCAGTCTGTTTGAAACAATTGGAATTGCCTGTAACCCCAGTGAGTGGCACTCATCCAAGAGCCTCAAAGCCATGCAGCTTCATAATGAAAACATGTATCCATCATTTCCCCTGGTTCACTCAGTACAGCTCAAAGAGGAATACAGCAGTATCAAGATCTTGCTAGATGCTTTAAAATATGAAGAGTATGGTTGGGAAACTTCAAAATGGTGAACTTTCTGATGGGTCTCCAAGGTGGCATTACCAAATTTCTTTGTTATCTTTGCCTTTGGGACAGTGGGGACATTGCGGTATACTACCACGAGACTGGCCCCAGTGAACCAAGTTCAGTGTGGGGAGGAACAACTTCAAACGGGAGCCACTGTCGGACCCCCAGAAAGTAATGTTTCCTCCCTCACTACACTTAACCTCCCTAAGCTGTCTGTAGCGAAAGTCAAAGACGGTGTCTTCATTGGACCACAAATGAAGAAGATCACAGAGTGCAAGGAATTCCCCAAGAAGCTCACTTAAGATGGAGGAAGCTGTGAGGAACAACTTTGTCACAGAGGTTTAGGACTTTCTGGACAAGGCCAAAAATTATGTTGAGCTTGTTGGTGAAGAACTATGGCAAAATTTGCTGCAGAATGTCCCTCAAAAGTCCATATCTTTGATATTCATCTGGATAAATTCAAGGAGAATATGGGGGCATACTCAGAGGAGCAAGGCAAGCGCTTCCACCAGGATAAACTAGACTTTGAATGCCACTACCAAGGAAGACAGAAGTCTATATTTAGGGGGCCGATTCATGAAAGTAATCTACAGTGCTATTATAGTATGATATCTACAGTTCATTTTCTACTATGGTATGATATTTACCAACTGTCAAAAGTATGAAATATGTTAGGATTTGGGGTTAGGGTTAAAGGCATTGAACTGGTATTGTATTAAAAATCATTAACAATTGTTTATAAAAAAAATCTTTTAAAAAAAATCATCAAATAGTGATTTTAACTTTTGCAAACTAATTTGATTAAAAAAAAAAAAAAAACACACGCAGTAAACAGGTCATCGTTTTTCCTGAGCATTTTCCAGCAATAATGGTTGCATCATCATTTACAGTAGGTTACAAATGCCTTGGTAGATATCATTAGCACCTAATTTACACTATAAGTGTAAATCACAAAAAAATTACTCACTTCTAAATTTTTTATGGTTTCTCTTGTACAATCCTAGAATAAGTAAATGTGACTTTTGAATCATGATTTTTTTTTCCTATATTGCGTGAACAAGAATGTTAGCATTCGCCACTTTTCCCAATGGGAATAGGTAAGTTTCAGAAATATCATTATCCTGGTCACAAAAGCAAAGTCTTCAAAGTTTTCCATACTTTCCTAGACATAAGCAAATAGTAAATAACAGCTGCTACCCAAGGACAAAAATCATGTTATACAGTATTATTGAACCCTAAAATAAAGTCATTTCACAAAATAGCTATCCATTAGTTTGCATAACTCTCTGGCAAATGATTCTTCTATTAGTTATCCTGAAGAGAAAAAAAAATTCTTACAAGTGGTAAGCTTAAAATCTGGAAATCAAATGTTTGTGCACTTGTTTACAACCAATTAGTATAAAGAGTTATCAAGATTATGTTTAAGATTTCACTGTGAGATATTCTCATTTGAAAGAGACCAATTCAAAATATTAATTGCTTCTCTTTCAAATTCCAACAGCATTTCTGGATTACACTTCTCCCCAGTCTTTTGAACAGGAGTAAAGACTTATCTCTTGTTTCCTGTTCCTTCTAAAGTTTTTTCATTCTCTTTCACTACCAGTAACCCTTTGCATATTGGTGGCATTATCACCTTGCTTGGGGTGAATTGATAAAAAAAAAAAAAAAAAAAAAAAAAAAAAAAAATTGAAAAAAAAGACAAGTGTAATTCTTTCATGTCAAGCATGAATATTTTTCAAAAAGTTTGACAGCAAATAAACAATATAAGAGGGAGGATTCTATAGTAATGTCTCCAATTCATTTCTATAACAAATGCAAGAAGTGAAAATCACTGTTGGATAATGAAGAATTCCAACTAAGAAATAAAAAAATGCTATCGTCTACATATTTGTCAATGAACATTTCAAAGATTGAAAGCCATGCAAGGCTCCCCAGAACATGACTTGTCATTCACGTCTCTGTCACCACTGCTGACATGTGCCCCTATCCACAGGGCTCTGTAAATATTCAGCAAGCATTGATGAATGTCAACAGGTGCAATTTTTTCAATTATATGCATCTATTTCATACACATTTCCATGTCAGAGGCAATTTTGCCAAAGTGCCACTCAGCTGCTATTTGTAACAAAGCAAAAAAAAAAAAAGAACGAAAAAAAGGAAACAGAAAAAGAGCGAAAAGGGAAAAAAAAGAAGAACGAAAAGGGAAAAAAAGAAGAACGAAAATGGAAAAAAAAGAACGAAAAAGAAAAAAAAAGAAGAATGAAAAAGAACAAAAAAAATGAAAAGAAAAAAATAATTAAAAGTAAAAGAAACTTACTTTAATATGCATAGCCGCTTCATTGCCAGAAGGCATTCGAGTAGAAACATGATAAATTACTTCACAGGTAGAATTTGAGTAATAAGGAGCTGTCTCTCCTGTTGTTTTATTCTGCTGCAAACCACCAAGAAAGCCAAGATGGAGTTCCAAATCGACCTGAATTGAAGACAAAACAACAACTAATTTTGGTAGAAACTAAAACGTAGAAAGGCATTTTTCAAAATTGGAGAAAAACATTTTTTATGAGAATCCAATAATAAAAATTTTAGATTGTTAGAAGAAAAACCTTTTTCCAAAACTGAACAAGAAGATAATTAATATTATCTATAATAATAATAACTTTCTTCATCTTCATAAAATATAAGAGTAAAAAAATCTTGACATCATAAATTTTTGAATTTTTTTTTTCAATCTGATTTTTATTTCTTTTACAGAAACATTCAGGTCTTTATTACAGTCTACAACCATTATTGTATGCAGTCGGGATCAGGAATAAAAAGAAACCACTTATTAGTTCTAAAAAGAAACCACTTTTTAATTCTGATCACTACTAATTGCTTAACAATTGTAAGATGTAAAAATGGCAAAAGAATTGTGAGAAAAAGAAAGAAAAAAAATAAAAGAAAAAAAATAGTAAAAACTTAATGATTATTTTTTTTCAGCTAATAAATTCAGATAAGTTTAAACTATTATAGCTATATACTTAAAAAAAAAAAAAATTTTTAAATTTCTTTCAATTTCTTATCTGTATCATTCCAAGGGAGGCACGGTGGAGTAATGGATAGTGGCTCAGATTGAGGAATTGGAGAGCTGAGTTCAAATTCCAGTCAAATCCATTACATTCACTAATGTGTTAATACCCTTGGGAAAGGTATGAAAGGTTCTTCTCTCCCCAGCTATAGGTAAATAGCAGGACTGACCAAGTTCTATAGCCTTGGATGGCAACTGGTATACCGCAGAAAGAAATGGCAACCTACTGCGGGAAAAAATCTGCATCATCAGTTATATATCGAAAGATATATGATTGTCTAAGCATGTATCATGTATGGCACATAATTGACTGATCATTGCAAAATCCACATAGGTAAAGCCTGGGTCACCTTGAATAAAATGGATGCAATCAGATCTACTAAACAGCCTCAAGCAGACCTACACTTGGATGCTGAGAGCTATACTGAACATCTGGATACAACATCCAACAAAATCACAGCTCTATGGTCCTATCCCTAAATGCACTTTGCAGAACACTGTTTGCAAACAAAACAAGAACTCGCAAGCAATCTACTGTTCTGGACACCTAGCCATGGAGCAAGACAATTTAGTCACCCAGCAACCACCTACATTGGCCAGCTATGTTATGACACAATGTCTCCCTAATGACCTTCCGACCTTGATGCGGGACCGTGACAGCATGATAAGACTCATGAATGTTCAAGCTAACACACACTAATGCCACTGGAAAAGGCATGAATCCAACTTCTGTTGCATAACCCCCTGGTGGGGGATGGTCCCATACTGTCCTATCTTGGCTAGTTGTTTTGAGTCCTGAGATAAAAGACTTCAACACTGGATATTTTAAACATAACTATTTTATTAATGTTCATGTCAACATGTACTATCCAGTGTGGGAGGGTCATTCTCCCTCACTGGGGAGTCATTTAAGATACAAAAGAGACACATCTACATAGCTTGGTGGTCAAGAAACAACTCACTGAAAAATTTTTCTCTATCTATCTCCTTTCCCAAACTAGCACAGTAAATCAAAATCAACTTCCTATATTATGGCTTGCATCTGACCTCATGATCAACCTCAGTAAATTGGAGCAGAGATACACTTCCTCTAAAAAATAATATTCTGCTAAACTATTATTTAACAATTCCTCAAGTTATTGGTTAAATAGTTCTCTTACCTTGGTTGGCAGCCAATCTCATAAAAAGAAAACTGAATTCAAAACCAGCCTGAAAAAGCTATCTTACCCTACGCATGTCATTGCTCCAGTACATAAAATGCCCTTACAAACCTAATGGATTACAGGACTTGTGATATTATGATGCCGATTCAGGTTTATTTTATACTAGCTTAAAAGCTGCACTCTCAAAATTAAAGGGACCTCTGGTCAGTCTTAGAAAACATCAATGATAATTTGGAAAAAATACTTTGAATTCTTCAATTGACTCCATAGACCTTCGAAACCTCAATTTAACTCTGATTCAGGCTATAAGTCCAACTCCGGCTAAAAGACTGATTTGGTCCAAAATTCCAATTCAAGCTGAAAATCGAGTTCTTCATATCATAAACTCTGTGGAACTTTAAAATATCACATCATAAACCTCTCACTTTTGGCACTAATTCCTTGGCATTTTAAAGTAATAAAATTGATTTCCTCAATTCACTAAGTTTTGGAGATATTTTAAACTGAATATAAAACAAAAAAAAATTAAATTAACAGTTTTTGTGTTACTTTAAAGTCAAAATAAATTAAAAACTTAAAATCACTAATTATTTTCAGTTATTTTAAAATTTGAATTTTTAACTGTTCCTTCCTCATCCAGACACAAATCTCAATGCTGGATGTTCAAGCACCAGATGAAGGGCAGATTTTCAATCCCAGGATCATCCTGATTCCATAAAGGTATAATATGTCTATGTAGAGCAAGTGTGGCCCAAATTAGAGGAGTTTCAGACACATGGGCAGAATTTGCCGTTTATTTATTTAGAAGATAGAAAATGTGTTAATACTTACCTCCCAGCCTAATCCACTGACAAAATCTTCATATGCTCTGCTTCCACTACAATTTGCAAGGATTGAATGTTTATCTTCTTGGCCTTCAGCAACATATATCACAGCAACTTTATGAGTGTCACGACTTGAAGAATAAAAAGCATAAAAAGTAATTATCCATGAGTTTAAAGTATATTTCAACAAAACTTTTTTTTACCAAAATGTTGGAATTTAAAATAAAACTAATCAGACATATATGCTAAATTAAAATCCACACAAAGTTTTTAAAGAAAAACAGTTCTAAAATCAATACAATTCATATATATATATATATATATATATATATATATATATATATATATATATATATATATATATATATATATATATATATAATATATATTATATTATTAGGGGTATAATATATATATATATATATATATATATATATAATAAAAAGGCTTAAACACTAATATTCCATGGTCATAATTTATTCCATTGGAATCGTAAATACGATCCAAATCATCAGACCTACAAATACAAAATGAAAACAGAAAAAACAACTTCGGAAATCAAAACAGAATTTAGAGAAAGTGTAAGTATGAGGAGGAGGGAGATGAAACCTTAACAGAGAGAATTTTAGGAGATGTGGTGGGTGGGGGGAATTTAAAAAGAGGAGAGAAAGAAAGTCGACGGATGTCTAATGCATAAAGACACATTTCTTGGTGACATACACACACCATAGACAATTAGAAGTTAGGATAGGAGGTAAAAAAAAAAAAAAAAGAGAAGAGGTGGGGAGAGAGATGGAACGAAGGAAAATAAAATTGTGTTTACTTAAAGGGCCGCTTTGTAATTGAGAAAATTTGACAAATTAATATCGACTACAGGTTAGAAATCAAATATAAATATATGAAGATGAATATAACGATTGTCTAATCTAGCAAGGACCAAATATTTCTATGTTCAAAAACACATGCTAATACACACAATAACATATACAAGTAGGTACACACACTTAGGCATGTACTCACACACACATATATATATATATATATATATACATATATATATAAAAAAAACCTACACATACATGTATATACATATGTACACATACACACTTATACATATACACATACATACATACACACCTACATACATATACACATATATCCACATACATACACATACATAAATACACACAGAGATACATATATGTACATATATATAAAAAGTTAAAATCTAAATAAGTGACGATTCAAATATTTGCGCGTGTAAAAAAAAATTCATATATATATATATATATATATATATAGCGCATCACATAAACGTGCACAATGATACATTTAGAGATAAACATAATAGTCATACAATTAAAATGTCATGCCCGATGTTATAGGACTAAGATGGAGCTGACATAAGTGACAACATGTTACAAAACGGTGTTCATGTTTTGAAACGTTTCTTATATCTACATTTAGAGAATATCTCATTCAAGATTCAGCAGATCATCTCGATTCTTATCTTTGATAATGAAGATTTTTTTCCGCCATGCATAGATCACACACATACATGGAAGTTATTAGGTGTTCTGGCTCTAGATAGGTATCTCTATTTCAAAATTGGGTTTAATCCCTTATCCACCAGTTCCCAGTAGTGTTTGGATAAGTCTGTCTACTGAGGCATCTATATCTAAATGAGCGTCTATGGTTATATATATATATATATATATAGGGTATAATATATATATATATATATATATATATATATATATATATATATAGGGTATATATATATATATATATATATATATTATACCCCTAGCTGGAGGGAGAAGAGGATTCATACCTTTCCCAAGGGTATTAGCATGTAAGTGAATGTAATGGATTCAACTCGAATTCGAACAGGCAGAACAGACTGGGTTCTATAGTCTTGGATGGCAACTGGTCTAGGAGAAAGACAACTCTAAATTCAAAACCTGCAAAAGATGGTTTGGGGACCTTGTGGCACATAGTGCACCAGGTCTCTGTATTCGGCCCTTCAAAAAGTCTGGTTGGTTCTGCACAAAGCCTTCACCACTATAATCAAATCATATGTGCTGGTGTCTGGCTATCAGTTCCTAGGAAGTGAGCTGCTTGACCCTCATACATTGAATACGATGGAAGAGTCCACTATAGATTTCTTATCCAAGATTAATGAAGTAGTGGGATATATATATATATATATATATATATATATATATATATATATATATATATATATATATATATAGATAGATGGATGGATGGAATGTTATAAATAATTGAAAGCAGTTAGGCTGGACTCTTCAAAGCATGCAATGAACTCAGAATATTAAATAATTTTTCATCTTTTTATAATTTAACGTTTAATGTTTCCTGATGGTACTAAGTAGTCATACTAATTTACTCAATCATTCTATAGTCCAGTCACCTTTATGGTCTGGCATGTTTTAAATCTGCTGCCAATAATAGTTTGTGAATCTCTCAATAAATGTCTTTGATTTGGTTGAAATGGCTTGGACTGTAATTCAGCCACTTATAAAACAACTCAATGTGTAAAAATCTCACTGTGATTTAAAACATTAAAAATAGTTCTATAATTATAACTGACAGAGTGAAGAAAGAACTCACCTACAAAAAAAAAAAAAAAAAAGTAAAAAATACTTCCCTAACCAAGTTTACCAGATTAAAGGCATGTAAGCCAGACTTACTGACATCAAAACAGTGCATCAATGGCAAAAAGAGGACATTTAGCAATTGTCAGCAACAGAATGACTTTAGAAAGAGCGATTTTTTTCCTCCTTAAAACAGAAATTGGTAACTTACCATTTTTGGCTATCCAGATTCTTCAGTTCTCGTAAAAGTTTATCACTTTTCTTCAATAAATCAAAATGACATCTTGGAAAAATAAATAAAAAATATTTGATTTTAAAATGAAGCTTATAAAAACAAGTTAAAACAATATAAAAAAAATTATATATATATATATATATATATATATATATAGAGAGAGAGAGAGATAGAGATATTCATTTGTATGGATATGAGTTTGTGACTCTGGGTTTCATGCTTTTGCAATCATCAGACAAACAGGTTTATTTTTTAAAAATTAATCTATTTACACTTGTTTGTGTTTGCATTATAATTCACACAAACATGCCCACATAAACAATTCATGATTAGACACATATACCTAAGAAATTTTTAAGAAAATTTAAAAATCATTTAATCACTAGTTACTTACCATCACCTAAAGGTGTACAATCAAAGTATTGAAACATGAAAGCTTTTGTGCAGTGATTTCAACATACATTATTTACATTATTGGGACTATTGTCCTCATCTTTGTCGCCATATCTATTACGTCTTGGCCATTGTACGCTCTGGCCTTCTTCAGGTGGTTGGAATGTTGAACTGAACCCTTTATTTTGCTCACAGAGGTAGACTGTTCTAGTTCGGGTATTGAACTCACACACTTTGAGTCCTGTCACTGGATCTAACCAACACCTTTTTCCACTGTGCCATGTGTAAGTTCAATACCCGGTTATGGCAGTGGAGAACTTTCAGAGGGAAGGAGATAACTGACATCCATTAAACATGGCACATGGAACCAGTAAGCGAATTAAAGGGTTAAGTTCGACATTCCAACCACCTGAAGAATGTCGGAGCGTACAATGGCCGAAATGTTGTAATAAATATGGTGACAAAGATGAGGACAATAGTCCAAATAATATACATAATACCTCATCTCAGAAATATAGACAGATACTGATTTCAACGTTTTTAATCTCTTATAATAATAATAATATATTGCTCTACTTTGTATTGAGCACTACTTTAAAAATAAAAGGCTACGAACAGTGAATTTTTACTCCATCTGTTCTTTCTCTCATTTGGATATATTATATACTTTCAAATACGTTTGGTTGAACACAACTCCGTCTATCCACATTCGGTTGAACATTCTATCCAATATTTTATTAACTTTTTCAAATTTCCAAAATTAGTTGTTTTATGTAATTGGTAAATTTACCAAAGTGCATATTTATTTTTATTGTATTTTATCCGCAAAGTACTTTCAATTTTTGTTACATTAATTTTCAAGCATTGTGTTTTGTGTATGTTCATGTAACTGTGTCTGGTTAAATCTGGCATTCTCATGTAGGAACCAACTTCAAGTCACTCAAGGCGATGTCATTTAAACAGTCAAACAAATTTTTATGTGTATTTTTTCCCATAAAACCACTAACAAATTTCCAAAAAGACTTTTTTTTTTTTTTTTTGTAAAATTTATTTATTATGATTTTAATTACTTACCTTCTTTCCCAAGACAAAAGACCCATCTGATCAAGTAACATTCTGGAAATTTGAAATGGGGATACTGGATCTTCCACTTCTGTCGGAAGTTGTGGATTGGCTACCATACTAGAAATTTGGAAAGGGAAAAGAAAAAGAATCTCAAAAGAAAAGATTTTTATTAACTGGATTTTTATATTAAAAAAAGAAAATATCTAGAGTTTGAAAATCATTTAAATATTACATTATACAACAATAAGTGTTGTATCACATGTGTAAGACATAGATGAGTTTGAATCTGGTAGAAAATACGCCTCATAAATGTAACCAAAATTTAAATAAATACACAAAAAAATTTAACTTTAAAGCTTTCACATTTGTAATTTAAATTTTAAGTATAGTTCTTTACAATTAAGAGTAAAATAAACAACTTTGAATATGATGAACCTGAGAAGATATTGTTTACGTAGACAACACCAGGTAATTTTAAGAAGCATTACAAGCATTGCACCCTCAGCCAATAAATTAAGCAGGCAAAACAAAGTTAGCCACTTGTCTTAATTATTTGAACATTAATATGAAATGGTAGAAGTAGCAGTAAATGTTTGTTATTGTTTTTTTTTTTTAATTTCTATAAATAGAAACTAAACATTGATGTCAATTTAACTTGATTTGTGCAATAATAAATAACTTTGTAAATAAATTTTAAAATTTAGATTGTTATAATTATTTTCATTTTGGCCCATTATGAGTAAATGGCTATTCATTTATGATTTAAATGCAATGTTTAAAAAATTCTAATGTTTCTTAAACTCACTTATTAAAATAT